AAGTAAACCCCCCCATTTCCAAAACTTTACCCCTACCGTGGAAATAAAGCATTTGCATCTTTCATCGTTACCAACTATTTGAGAAAAGTTTAGGAATGTTGGATGAGGTGAGTATCAAGTTACTTGCTCCCAGATTCCATTTGAATGATGCCAGGTTCCATAAGCAGCTACAACTCCACTTTTGTTGCACACAAATGCAATGATGGAAACTATAAAACAAAATAGAACAAAACAAAAAACAGGATAAAACCACAGTGGCACAGTGTGTGTGTGTGTGTGTGTGTGTATGTGTGTGTGTGTGTGTTTAGAGGCAGCCAGGTGGCACAGTAAATAGATCGCCAGGGCTGGTGTCAGGAAGACTCATCTTCATGAGTTCAAATCTGGCCTCAGACACTAGTTGAGTGACACTGGACAAATTCCTTAACACTGCCTCATTTTTTTCATCTGTAAAATGAGCTGGAGAAGGAAATGGTAAACCACTCCAGTATCTTTCCTAAGAAAAACCCCAAATGGGGTCATGACACAAATATGAGTGTGTGTGTGTAAATATATGTATATATATATATACACACACATATAGATACACATATATTTAGATGATGTTAATGGTATTCATGATCTCTATTAAATGACACGAACGAAGAAGCATTTGTTAAGTTCTCATGTCCTAATAGAAGGAAGACAGTATTTTAGGATGGTTCCATGGAAGAGGAAATCAGAAAAGCTCAGAGTGCTTAGAGTCTATCATAAGGGCCTGCCCTGGGATCTGGAGGGGTACAGCAGCCAGGCAGATGGTAAAGCCCTGTTGGACTTAATTGTACTGACAGAATTGTAGTTGGTGACTCCTTTTTCATCTAACCAGTGAATAGTCATCTCTACCTTGCCCACTTGTGGGGATGGAGAGAGCCAGGTCTACGCCTGTAGGGATAGGGTAGATGCCGGGAGGGTTAAAGAGAAAGGGAGCATTGGCAGAAAGGTAAGGAGGGAAAGGAGATGAGACTTGGGATTCCAGGGCAGTGGACCAGAGCTGGGCTTGAGCTTTTCTTGGCCTGGTCCCGTCTCTGCCTTCCGGGTCAACAACACTGTCTTGTGGAGTAATGGAATAAGTATTGAGCTTGGAATCAGGAAGAGCCATGAAGAGGTGCTTACCATGCTGTATACCTTTATCCACTTCTTTTGACACCTTTTGAATACAGTGCAACCCTTGGACTCTCTTATTCCTTGATTTTCCCTCTCCTCCTCAATGATGTTGTGTCATCTGAGAATGACAGGATCATAAGTTTAGAGGTACTTCAGAGACCCTAGAGAACCAGAGGTTCCCAAACTTATTTGGCCTACTGCCCCTTTTTATTTTTATTTTTATTTATTTTTTGGCTAGGCAATGGGGTTAAGTGACTTGCCCAGAGTCACGCAGCTAGTAAGTGTCAAGTGTCTGAGGCTGGATTTGAACTCAGGTCCTCTTGACTCCAGAGCCGGTGTTCTATCCACTGCGCCGCCTAGCTGCTACAATACCATCCCCTTTTAAAAAAAATTACTCAGCTCCATCCTGGAAATCTACTTTTTTTTAACCCCTTTTTTTTATTTGAAATTTGCATCATTTAAAAAATATACAATTTTTTTTTAAAAAAAAAAATCTTAAATTTAATAATTTATTGTAAATTTGTGGGTTTTTTCCTGCATTGAAATTTTGGTGACACAATATTGCGTCATGTAAATAGAATTGTATTATAAAGAAGTCATTACATGCACATATTCCTGCTGAGGCGTGCTGGACTTCTCAACAATGCATGAGGTGTTTGCCTGCCAACACTTGCTTGTTAAGACCTGTCATCAGACTTGACCACTGATTGATTATAACTTGTGTTTTGTGTGTTTATTTGGAAAATAATGTAATCACTACAACTTTAATTCTGTTACACAACAGATGAAACATGTACAAACGGTTTTTCAAAATTTTCTTCTTTTCTTTCCTTATGCTTCCACTGCCCCTTTATTTTTATTCAGTGCCCCCCCCCCCAAATTGCACCCAAGACTACTACAACGCCTTACTCCTCCCTCCCCCGATCATTCCAGTTTGGGAACCTGTGCCCATCTACCACCACATTCTTATCTTTAGCCTTCTAATTGAATGTTTTGGTTTTTGGTTTAATGAGTCTGTGACCTGTCTGTATACAAAGGTGATTCAAAAATGGTGCCCACATTGGTAACCAGTTGCTTCCTGTCTGTTAAAGATTGATCAGTTTCATTTATTTTTAAACTATGTTGCTCGGTGCTTGCCATGCACTTTCCAAATCTTTTCTCAAAAAAGAATTCATGTAATAAAAGCATGACATTTCTGAACAGTCTATACTCCTTTGGTTCTTTATAAAAAGTACAGTGGTTGGAGCTCTGGACCTGGTGTTAGAAAGACCTAGTATAAATCTGGACTTGGACACTTAGCAGCTGTGTGTCCCTGGGCAAATCACTTAACTTCTGTTTGCCTTAGTTTCCTTAACTATTAAATGAGGATAATAGCAGCTACCTCCTAGAGTTGTTGTGCCTGGCACATAGTAGGTGCTTTAAAAATGCTTATTCCCTAACTCTCCCACCCCCAATGTTACACTTCCCAACGGGGATCTCCCAAATTATCGTCAGTTGGGATGTTGGGAATTTGTCATCCATAAGACCAAAGAACTGGATCCAGGACACAAGCAACCTGTTTTAATCCGATGGTTTAGTTAAACTATCCTGAGGCAGTGAATTTTTCTTGCTGCCAGCTTAGGCTGTATTTGAATTGCTGCCAGTGAGGTAAAATGTAGGAAAATATAGTGGTATTATTAATAAACATTACTTAGTCGTTCTGAGGAGTGGATATTATGATTTAGAAAACACTTCCTGGTTTGGTAAATGCGACAATGCACCATATTGGACTTATCAAATATGGGAGGGGGGAGGATTGTAAGAATTCCAAGGGGTTGATGCCTCATTTCACTTTATGATGTTTTTGGAGCTGTTATGGGATTTTTTAAAAAATGTTTTTACAGAGTGGGGAAAAGTTGTTTATTTGACTCTCCTACCCATTCTCCCCGCCCTTTCCCCCTTGTGCTGGACAGAGAGGAGTCATGGAATCCCAGAGCTATGAAGGACCTCAGAGGTCCTTCTCCAGAATAGGAATATTCTCCACCACATCCCCATGTGATCATCCAAATTCCACTTGAGGACCTCTAGTGATGGGCATACTTCCCAGTATAGCCCATTCCAATTTTGTTTAGCTCTCATTGTTGAAAAATTTTCCCCTAAATTAAGCCAAAATCTGTCTCTCTACAGCTTCCACCCATTACTGGTAGTTCTGCACTCCTGGGCCAAGAAAAACAAATGTCTCATGTGACAGTCATTCTGACATATGTAGACTGGTAGCCTTTTCTTTACCCAGCTCCGCAGTTCATTCACTTTACTCATGGTTTTAAGTCTTAGCTCAGTCACCTTCCTCTAGAGCCATTTAGGTGACACAGTGGATAGAGCACAGGGTCAAGGTCAACCTGACTTGAAATCTGGCCTTGGCACTTACTAGATACCCTGAGCAAGTCCCTTAACCGCTGTCTGCCTCAGTTTCCTCAACTGTAAAATGGAGATAATAATAGCACCAACCTCTCAATGTTACTGTAATGACAAATGAGGTAACATTTGTAAAAAGTACTTAGCACAGAGCCTGGCATTTAGTAGGCACTTAGTAAATGCTTGTTCCCTTATGGATCATGGGTTCTAAATCTGAGATCTGTGGACTTAAAAAAAATTTTTTTTCTATTTCAATAATTGTCTTTCAATATAATTGGTTTCCTTTGTAATCCCACGTGTTTTATCTTATACATTTAAAAATTATTCTGAGAAGGATCCCTGGGTTTTACCAGATAACCAAAGCGGTCCATGACCCTAAAAAAAGGGTGAAAAATTTCTGATCTAGACATTCTTCAGCTAATTGATATTTTTCCTAAATGTGGTACCCAGAAATGAGCACAAGATTCCAGATGTGGTCTGGACCAAGACAGAGACCTGCCAGACTAACCTACTTCCTTTTCTCCATTATACTTTTGTTAATGCAGCAGAGATCACATTAATTTTTTGGGGGGGGGGGAACTTTCATTCACTCTTTACATCAGGTAGTCTGTAAAATATTTTCATTCAGAATCTATTTTGTTTAGTGCAAAGAAAACTAGAAAGGGCATCAGGAGGGAAAAATTATATTTCTGGTTCTGTCATTGTATGATGTTGGTCAAATCTTTTAACTTGTCTCAGCCTCAACCACCTGATTTGCAAAATAAGGAGGTAGGAGGGTTCCTTTCAGCTCTAAAAATTCTGAATAAATCTTGAGGAGAAGGCAAAGGGTGGTGTAGAGTAGCATGTACTTATTTTTCCTGCTATAATAAAACGTGATGTCACAGAGAAGGCCCCAAACCTGAAGTCAGGAAGACTGAGCTTCAGATCCTAGCTCAGGGACATTCTAGCTAATAAGTGACCTTGAGGAACTCACTAATTCTCTTTGTACCTCAGTTTCCTCATCTGTGAAAATAAGTGGGATGGACTAAATGTCATCAAAAAACCTTTCCTGCTCTAAATCTATGATGTTGTAATCTGGGTTAATCAGGTTTTTTTTTTTTAATTGAATGAGAAAACATTTTTACATACAAAAAAAAAAGAGAACATTTCTCAATATACGCAAAACATAACAAATGAGATGATTACATATAAAACCACAAATCTCTATTGGGCAGGGGAATACAAGTAATCCCAAAAGTCTCATTGCAGTTTTAAATTATTAAAGTTATTAAAGGTTATAATTTTATTAACTCTTTTGGGACATCCTATATAATAAATTCAATGTGTTATTTTTTTGTGAGGCAAATTTCAAAGAGATCAACAAAAACTGCTTTTCTGTATTATTAATATCTTTATAAATTATGTTTCAGTATGAACACAGAAAGAATCTTTTTTTTTAATTATAAGTCATTCTTTTTTTTTTGTAGCATCTTTTTTTGGTGAAAGTTTTGTGGAACTGAACATCATAGAAGCTTCTCCAGACTTGTCCCTTCACTTAAAATTTCAGACCAGCAAACCACATGGATTACTTTTTCTAGCAGCTGGAAAAGATGATTATTGTGCAGTGGAACTCATTTCAGGAAACCTACGGGTGCATTTCTTTAAAATATTTGCATTTTATATATCTATATCTATATGTATATGTAATATAATGAATATATATTATCTAATCTTTGTGTGCATATAACATAATGAATACATTATATATAATCAGTTGTATTTGTTATATAACATAATAAATATATATTACATAATAAACATTTATATTTCTATATATAACATAATGAATATATGCTATAAATAAAACTTTTATATTTATTATGTATAAAACATAATGAATATATAGTATATAAAATAAATATTTGCACTTACGTATATATAGCAGGACAGTTAGGTGACATGGTGGATAGAGCGCTGGTCCTGGAGTCAAGAGTACCTGAGTTCAAATCCGGCCTCAGACACTTACTAGTTGTGTGACCCTAGGCAAATCACTTATCTTTGTTTGCCTTAGTTCCTTATGTGTAAAATGAGCTGGAGAAGGAAATCACAAACCACTCCTGTATCTTTGCCAAGAAAACCTCAAATGGAGCCATAGAGAGTCAAATATGACTGAAATGACTCAACAACAACAACAATAATATGTAACATAATCAATATATATAATAAATATATTTATGTATATGGAAGACATAATGGATATATATAATAAATATATTTATATGTATTCATAAATATGGTATACACAGTGTGGAGTGCTTAACATAACTTTTAAGAGGGAAACAATCATGGAAAAAAGAAAACAAAAATTATTTAATACTTTTATTCTCATGAGAATAGAGAGCTAGGTGACACAGTGTAAAGAGGGCTGGACTTGGAATCAGGAGGACCTGAGTTCAGATACAGCCTCAGACACTTTGTGACTTTGGTCAAGTCACTTAACCATTGCCTACCTCAGTGTCCCCATCTATAATAGCACCTACCTCCCAGGATTCTTGGGAGAAAAAATAAGATAATATTTATAAAGCTCTTTGGAAACCTTAAAACATTATAATAAATGCTAATTATTGTTATTATCATTATTATTATATACTGACTTTAATATTCATTGCACTGTCTACTTTTACCAACCTATCTCAATAGTTATAACTCTAAAGTTTGGCCTTACCTCACTTGCCATTTAGGTTATAAAAATGGGAGAGTTATAGTAGCGTCCAGTTTTATTGCACTGTTTTTATAAAGAGCCTCTGTATGCTCAGTGGCCAACTGTAAATATAAGTATATAAATATTAATGATAGAGAGGTGTGATTGGCTAACTCTAGTCTCCTTTTTTCCAGGTGAGAGTGAATTTGGGTGCAGGTGAATTAGTGCTACATTCTCAACAAAAATCACGCTTGGATGACTTGGCTTGGCATGTGGTTGATTTACGTCGTGCCAGTGATACTGTCACTCTGGTTGTTGACACTCTCCATAGTACCAGTGGGATAATGTCAGGGAGGATACGTGGATTAAATATTCAGCAAGGAATCTATGTTGGGGGGAGCAGCAGTCTTGATGTTCCTTACTTGGAAAGAGGACGCTCTAATTTCCGAGGATGTATGGAGGACGTGATATTTAACCAGCGCGAGATTCTGAACTCCCTCAGGTCTTACCCTGGATTTAAGAAAGTTCATGAGGTATCATTGGGATGTAGTGATGAATTCTTTGCAGGTGAAAGTGAAGCTATCAATTTCTTTAGCTCCAAATCTTATGTCACTTTCCCAGGGTGCAACACCAAGAGAGAAGTACTCTGGGAATTCACTTTTCAGACTGGAGCTGACCAGGGTTTGCTTCTCTATCAGTCTGGAAGATCAGGGGACTTTGTTGCTTTGGAAATAGAAGCTGGATTCATTAAGGCACATGTTGGAAGGAGTCAAACTAAAACTGAGCTTCCTTCCCTTAGCTTAATTAGTGACAATGAGTGGCACTTTGTTCAACTCCAGTTCACCAGGAGGTATTTCAGCTTGCGGGTTGATGAAGAAAGAGTCCAAATATCCCTGCCTCTACACAGCAGGGCACTTGAATGTAAAGGTCCACTCTTTGTGGGAGGTGGTGATAACAGTGCCTGGTCAGAAATGAAGAAGTTAAAGTTTACCCCTGTTTCTAGGAAGTCTGCCAGAGGTGGCTCCTTCAAAGGCTGCTTAAGAGGCCTGAAGGTTAACTTGGAAAAGCTATCACTAAAGAATGCCCTTGTTTCCAAAGATATTTCAGCTGGATGTAATACTAAAAGTGGTGCTGTTTCAAGTATTCCTGTAGCAACAACTGAAAAAATGATGCTTCAGACAACAACTCCCTCTTCTAGTACTCTTCCTGAAAGATTCAGATCTTCCCTTCAGGAGGACAGCAGTAATTTCTTGGCTTTGAATAACTTGGTAGTTCAGGAAGGTGGACAAGCCCCAGTTGAAAGTAAACATATTTGGGTGAATTTGGAATTTAAGGAATTAGAAATTCATTATTCCCAAGTCCTGTTTCAAATTAAGGAAAAACCTATTCATGGAGATTTGAGATTAGTTGGTGCACCTGCATCCCAGGTGGAAGCAACTTTTACGATGTTAGATTTGTGGCAAGGAAGAGTTATGTATGTCCATGATGGCTCTGAGAGCACCAGAGATCACTTTATATTGTCTGTTTCTATCAGCAAGGAGAAGGAAATTCCTTTCCATCTGCAAGGAGATGATCCATATGTGTGTAACATTACTATCAGTCCAGTAAATGACCCCCCAGAGCTCTCCCTTCCAGAAGGAAATTTGCTTCTCCTATTAGAGAACTCCAAAAAACGACTGACGTCTAACATGGTTAAGGTGTTGGATCCAGATACTAACCCGTTAGACCTGACTTTTTCAATACTTGGAAACTTCAATGCTGATACTGGATATTTAGAAAACTCTAAGCATCCTGGAAAAATAATTAATACATTTACAAATGAGGATTTACAACATGGAAGAATTTTCTATGTGCATCGTGGGCCCCAGAATTCCCGTGTTGTTCTGCGAGTAAGTGATGGGGAGTTGGTTAGTAATACAACCGTATTACGAGTCAAGGCCATGCCTTGGGATTATGAAGTGGTAAATAACACTGGTGTGACTGTTCAACAGGGCAGCGTGGTTCTGATTACTCAGAGCAACTTGTCAGTACAGATTAATGCTGGGGAGCAGGAGATGGAGATACGGTATGACATTATCCAACATCCTCTTTTTGGTCAGATTCAAAGACGAAGTTCTAATGGGGAATGGAAGCTTGTCAACACCTTTTCTCAACGTTCTATTGATCGAGATCGGGTAAGGTACTATAGTACCTTTAAAGAATCACAAGTGGAAAATGTCACTGATCATTTTACATTTAAAATTAGCATTGAAAATAAAGTCAGTGAAGAACTAGTATTTCCCATAGCCATACAATGGCTGAAGTATAAATTGGTGAAAAATAGTCCCCTAAATATTGATACAATGGATAAAAAAATGTTAACTTCAGATAACTTAATGGTTAGGATGGAGAGTATGGAGGCACTTGAGAGCGAGCTTTATTTTAAGTTACTGTCCCTGCCTAAGAAAGGAAAACTGCTGCTTGGCAGCAATGTTTTAAAACTAAACTCCACCTTCAGCCAAAAAAATATTATAGATAATGAAGTTGCTTATGAACTAGTTGAGAGGTCACAAGAAAACACACAGGATTCATTCAGGTTCTTGATTTGTACCAACTATACAGAATCAAAGGTTTATATCTTCACAATAAATATCAGAGCAGATCACAATCACGTTATTTTAACCAACAAAGGATTTTCTGTAACTGAAGGCGAAGGGAAGTTAATCACCAAAACAGAATTATTTGTGCAAACTTTGAGTAATCAGGTTTTCCATTATAAGGTCACCAAGAGCCCTCACCATGGGAAGCTGAAACTTATTAACTCTTCAGATTCACTGGAAAGTAATGATAACATAACTACTTTTACCAACCAGGATATCACTGGTGAACGTTTGATGTACATCCACGATGACTCTGAAACTGTGCGTGATGAATTCGTTGTTAGGGCATCTGCCAAAGGAGCAGGAGATGAGGAGACTGGGGTGGGTCCCGAAATCAAAGTAAATATTTCTGTGAAACTAAAGAATGATGAGAAGCCTGTGCGCGTGGTAGATAAAGTATTTCATGTGGTAAGAAATAGTCAGCGCTTATTGACATTGATGGATCTTTGCTACCATGACCCCGATTCAGATTTTAATGATAAGCAGTTGGTATACACCAGGCGGGGCATTCCAAATGGTGATCTAGTGTTAGCCAGTGATCCCAGCCAAAAGCTCTACCAGTTCAAACAAGAAGACCTAGAGGAAGGGTGCGTGCTGTTTAGGCATCGCGGCGCAGACTATGCCCGATTTGTGCTGCTTGTCACGGATGGCACCCACTACACGTCCTCCCTTTTAGAGGTCAGTGCTTCGGAGCCGTACCTGCGGATAGCCAACAACACAGGATTGCTTGTGCTAAAAGGAAGAGAAAAAGCTCTCACAACTGCTAACCTTAGTGTTACCACAAATCATGACATCAGAAGTGACACAGAGATCAAGTATGAGATCTTTTTGCTTCCAAAGTATGGCAGCGTCTTGGTGAAAAATAGGCCATCAGCTTCATTTTCCCAGCATGACTTGAAGCAAGGACATGTGATTTACAGGCATAATGACAACAACCACCTTGCTGATATGTTCAACTTGACTGCAAAAGTTAAAGAGATACACTTGAATATTGGGATTCGTGTTCAGATGTACTTGGAAAGCCACCAACATCCCCCTGAAGTTGTTCACAGCAAGAACCTTTTAGTTGAAGAAGGAAAATCAGTGAAACTCAGTAGAAGAAAGCTTCAGGTATGTTTAGATGCATAGGTATGTGCTTATATCCTCTACAGAATGACTCAGTGAATCCATAACACCAATCATGCTCACTCTACCACAGCCACTGGGACTGGTCTCTTAGGCATATTTTCGTGTGCCTATGAAAGATGTTAAACTCCAATTAACTTTTTAAAAAAAAAACTTTGCATAGTAAATTTACTCTGGATTTCTGAAAGTTTTTTTCTGTTATATTTATTTAAAATTGCAACAGTTTACATTAGAAACAAGCTCAATTAAGGTAAAAAACAAATAACTGCATACAGCTTAATTTTACAAAATGCAAACATACATCTTTCATTATTCCATTATCTATTAAGAGCCCTATAATTGCACAGTGCTCCAATTAACTCTTGTCCTGAAGCTATGACCTTTAGTAAAGGAAGGGTGTCATATAGGTATGATGAGAAAGTTCCAGGTTCTCAATATTGTTCATTTGGGGAGTTTTCCCATTATTGGAAAGAGATGAGATTCCTAAGAAGAAAGGGAATACTTATCAATATATTTTTACTTAGGTTTGATGGCACCATAATTCATTTTGTCTCAAGATACATTGATGTAACAACTCCATGTTTAAAAACTTAGAACAATTTAAGAAATTTGAATTTTTCTAAAATTTCTAAAAATAGCTGTAAAAATAACATAATTTATCTTCCTAGTTAGGCATCCACAAAATGTGATATACAGAGCTCTGAAGGTTGACCGATTCAGAATTTTCCATACCATCAGAGCAAAGGGACATTATAGACATGAAAGCTCTCTGCTGCAGGAAGGAAGTTTCCCACTTCTTGCCATTAATATTTGAGGATTAGCAGGCACACCCCTGCTGCTTACAGTTAAAAGATTATATAAGGAGCTGTAAAAACTGCTTGAAGCTAGAAATCTGTAAGAACTGTGATTTACAAGAAATGACAATGAAAACAGGCAGTTACTCATCTCCTCTAAGTCCCTGGGTTCAAATCCCACTCCTAACAAAGACAACTTGGGTGACCTTGGTTAAGTCACTCAAGCTCCATGGGCCTCATTTTCATCATCTGGAAAATGAAAGGATTGTATTAGATGGTCTCTGAGGTTGCGCCACCCCACTCCCAGCTCTATAGCGATAATCCTTTGCATGCAAGTTTTATTGTAAGGCAAGTGGAAATGAAATAGGGAATAGAAAATCTTAGTCCAATCAATTGACTGAATCATAAGTTTGGAATAAATGGATGCAGTGCATAGGAGTTCTTGCCAGTTCTTTCTGAATTTTTCTGCAACTTCTATTGGTGACATTTACATAACCACCACCAGGGGTCTCACATGGATCACCATGGTAGAATCCAGTTTGTTATTACCTAAGAAGCAAGTTTTACTTTCATATTAAATTTTAAAAAAATTTGAATACCTATTAGCAAGTTTTTAATAAATATTTTAGCAAATATTTATTGAAATTGAATAAAAAGAATAGTAAGGCTTGATCCCAGTTTTTAGGGAATCATGGAATCATGGATTTTTTTTTCAGTTAAATTCAATTCATTAAACATTTACTAAGTGCCTGATTTGTGCCAGGTACTGTGCTAAGAACTGGGGATACAAAATGGAGCAAAAGACAGCCCTGCCCTCAAGGAGCTTACAATCTAGAAGGAGAGATAACATGCAAACAAAAATATACAGAGCAAGCTATATATAGGATAAATAGGAAATAATTAAAAGAGGGAAAGCACTGGAATTAAAAGGGGTTGGGGAAGGCTTCCTGTAGAAGGTGGGATTTTAGTTGGGACTTAAAGGAAGCCAAGGAGGTCAGTAGGAGTAGAGAAGGGAGAGCGTTTCAAGCGTGGGAGACAACCAGCCTAGAGATGGAGCGTATCACTCATGGAACAGCCAGGAGGCCAGGGTCACTTGGGGACTAAGGTATGAGAAGACCAGGAGGGTGCTTGGTCATGAAGGGCTTTGAATGCCAAACAGACCATTTTGTATTTGCTTCTGGGGGCAATAGGGGAGTCACTGGAGTTTATTGAGTGGGGCAGGGGGTAACGTGACTTCAGAGCTTACACTTTGTGCCATGGATTTCGTGTGAAAAGAGGTGTCAGAGATTTCTCTCTTTTTTTTCTTTTGAGATAATTGAGAAAAAGGTTAGGGATAGCTTTGTGAAACTGTAGTTTCCTCCAGTCTTGCAACTGGGTTTGAATAGATTGGATTAGGTCCTCCGTAAATGTTCTTGACTGACTGCATCATAAGTTAACCCACATTCATGCATTTTGACCATATGATCATAGATTTAGAGTTGGAAGGGACCCCTCAGAGGCCATCTAGTTTAACCTTTTTTTTTTTTTAATGGATAAAGAAACTGAGGCCCAGAGAAATTGTGCCCAAGGTCACACAGATAAAAAGTAGCAAAACTGGGATGGGTGCATAGTTAAAGAATCTGCCTCCTATCTCCATTTTAATGTGATTCTTTTCTCTGTGTATGTTTTTGTGAATATCTCCATGTGAGGCTATACATGAAAATAACTCTGCATCAGAGATAGTGTTCATCATTAAGAGCCCCCCGGTCCATGGACAGCTCCGAAAATTTGTCCCTGAAGATTACTTGGATGCTGATGAGAATTCTCCTTCATCATTTACACAACAAGATATAGATGATGGTCATATCCATTATGAGCATACAGCTTTTGGCCAACGGCAAGATCGCTTTTTGCTGGGTGTCACAAACGGTGTCCAGGCCATCAGTGGTATAGAAATCATGGTGGATATTATCCCTAGACTGATTCCTTTGGTCATACAGAACTTCACGGTACAAGAAGGTGGCTCCAGAGCCCTTTTAGAGGACTTCCTTAAAATTCCAAATCACCATTTTGTGGGAATCGACTGTGAATTTGTCCTAGTTGAATCACCAAAGCATGGTTACATTGAAAATTCTCATTTTCCAAGAATAAAGCTAATGAAGTTCACCAGAAAACAGGTAAGGACCTTCTGGAACTATCTCTGTCCATGTTAGGGGTAAGGTGAGAATTTTTTTTTTGTATATAATTTATCATTTAAGTGAGAATTGAGAGAATTCTTTGTTGTGACTGTAGTCTGTTTCTTACATCAAAGTCCTAAAAATCAGTAACCTCAGACATTGATTTCTGGTCATGTCTTTGCTGCTCAGTTACTGTCAGCCTAGCCTCTGGCTTTCATTCCTTGGTTCTTCCTTTAAAAGCAAAACCGAGATAATTGGGTTTGTATATTCAGGTAGTTGTGTTTTCACCATAGTTCGTATCTGAATTTTGTTTATAAGATATTCTTTGTAGAATCAAGTTCCTTGACTGGCATTCTTTTTCTGTCTTTGTGTCTCTAATGCTTAGCATAGTACCTGACATGTAGTAAGCAGGAAATACTTATTTAATTGAATGTAGGGAGAATAGGTCCTAGTAGGCACAGCTAGGTAGTGCAGTAGATAGAGCACCGGGGCTTAAAGTCAGGAAGACTCATCTTCATGAGTTCCAATCCAGCCTCAGACACTTACTAGCTGTGTGACCCTGGGCAAGTCATTTAATCTTTTTTGCCCCAGTCTCCTCCTCAAATAAGCTGGAGAAGAAAATGGCAAACTACTCCAGTATCTTTGCCAAGAAAATCCCAAATGGGGTCACAAAGAGTTGGACACAACTGAACAACAGGTCCTAGTAACAAATAGGAATACCATTAGTTACTCCTGTTTCCAGTCTCATCCCTACCTCTTCCTCTGTAGGAGCTGCCCTTAATATCTAATTCTGAAGTGTTTGTAGCTTCAATTTCAGTGATTCAAGTGACCTTAGGAATCTTACTGGATGTGCTTTCAGAGAAATGGAACGGGGGAGGCTCTGGCTGCCCCCTTTTGTTAGAATTATTGGTAGGACTGGAGGGGAAACATCTGTGAAGTTTTTGATGTTAATTACCAAGAGTTTTCTTCAGTTTTATTAAAACTTCTGGGCTAGCGTACTTCCTAATGGTTAAAAGAAACATTTTGACAAATATAAATTCACTTTAATAATCCAGTTACTATTAATGAATTAGTACCTTCTGTCTGCTAAGAACTGTGATAGGTGCTTGAGAGCCCCTGCCCTCAAGGAGCTTAAAATCTAGTGTGGGAGGTAAAATGTATACACAACCAAAACACAAAAATAATACAGCAAATAATTAATTGAAGTATAGGGTGCTCTGAGAATTCAGAATGAGGGAGAAATTGTTTATGGCTCGGTGCAAAGAGGGAGGGCTCCCTGAAGGTCCGGGGATTTGAGTAGGTCCTCAAATTGAGTTGAGTAGAACAACACATGGGATATAGATTATATTGGGGAAAAAAAAGTGGCATTGAATTGGGAAGCTAGGCTTTTTTTCTCCATGAAGCACATTTTATCTCCCCAAATGAATTTATATAACACCTCTGTAGAAGAAGCAACATTCCCTCTGAGACTCTTCATATGTATATTTCACTGTGAGTGTGTGTATATGTGTGTGTGTGTGTATAAATACTCTTGGAAACAAATAATTTGAGTCAAAGGAAGTAACTTGAACACACATAATAAACAAATAGGAGCTGGGGTTGTTGAGCTGCTAAAGTGTTTCAGCTATTTTAATGAAAACAAGCAGATAGCGTGGCTTTACCGTCTTTAAAAGTTAGCTACGTTAGACTGTTTTTCGGCCTATTAAATTCTTAGACTGTGAAGGTGCTGAAAAGCACAAATCGTTGAAGTTCAGTTTTTGACCCTGGATTTTTAAAAAATCATTGACATTAATAAAGATATAGAAAGTGTTTAGCAGATTTACAGATGTCACACATTGCTGTTATTTTGGATTTTGATAGGGTAGGACAACGGACCCTAAAGATCAAAATGTAACTTTCCTAGATACAAACACATCTGTAAAACATTAGAGAAGAGTAGTATTGACTCAAAAAACAGTCAAAAGAAAGTTTTGGAGAAAACACACCTTCAGAGATCTTGGTATGAGATCAACCCTCAAAGCATGATTGATGGAAATGGGGGACCAAATGAGTATGAAAATGGAGTAGATCTGCCAATGTTTATATAAGATATACATGCAGATAGATCTACCAATGTTACATATATTATATGTTTATTATTTAATGTATTTATACTAATTTTATAATTTATCTATAATTATATAATCATAACATTAACATAATTATATGATTAATATATTTATATTAATGTATTATGTATTGTTATGTATATGTATATATTTTTAGTCTGGACCTGGCATTAAGGAATTTCTGATGCTGAAGTTTCTTCCTCCAGTGACAATCAGCAACAGTTCTTCAAGTTAGAGTCTTGGAGAGTAGCCTAGGGTATTAAGAGGTTAGGTAACCTGCCCACAGTCATGTACCAACTCTGTGTCAGGGCTCGGACTTGAACCTGGCATATTTCTGGTTCTAAGACTGACTCTTTCCACATTATGCCTCTTTAGATAAAATTTAGCAGAGACAAAAATGTTAAGTTGTGTATTTTAATTACAAAAGTCAGTTGCACAAATACAGGATGTAGAAGGCTTGGTTTGGTAGCTGTGGCATTTTCACTGACCACAAGCTAAATATTAAGCAGTAGTCTGCTGTGAATGTTTAAAAAAAAAGGGTATTGATGAAACTTTTAAAAAAATACACAGAGGAAATAAAAATGGGGTTCAAAGGGGAACACAGATAAGCAGAGAAGTGTTGTTACTACCACATTGTGTTTAATGTAGATTTGTAATTTCATGTGCAGTCATCATTTTCTTAGGGCAAAAGATCATATATCAGTGGCTTAAAATGTGACTTTTGGTCAGAGACGTAAAAATCTCACTATATTCTGGACTGGTCAGACCCCATCTAGAGCAGAGGTGGCCACCTGGGGTACTGGGGAACTAGATGAAAATGTAATTGAGAAATGTTTAATAATAATAACAACAACAGAAAATATACATTGCAACATAGATAATATTAATTTGTGGTTTTCTAAGTCAATATGTGGCTTGTAGGAATCTGTTTATATTTGAGTCTGATACCACTAATCTAGAGCATTCTTTGATTCTTGATTGATTGATTCTTTGTGTCCCCCTTGAAGAAGGAAATCAGCAACAGTAGTGTTTCTCAGGGAAGGCAGGCATAGTGATGAGAGAATCTGGGAAATGTGACATAAGAAATGGTGGAGAGAACCGAGGATGAGAAGAATTATGAGAGATGTGGCAGATGTTGAGGGCTTTCCTATGAAAGAGGGAGTGGAATGACTTGGAGTTGCTTTAGAGGCTAACCCTAGTACCAATGTGTAGCTGTTAAGGGGAGAAGATTTTATTTTTGTTTTCAGTTCCAAATTCTCTCCCTCTGTACATCCCCTCCTTCACCCATTGAGAAGGCAAGAAGTAGACTTTATGTGTGTGAAGTAGTATAAAACTTATTTCTAGGGGCAGCTAGGTGGTGGAGTGGATAGAGCACTGGCCCTGAAGTCAGGAGGACCTGAGTTCAAATCCGGCCTCAAACCAAACACTTGACACTTACTAGCTGTGTGACCCTGGGCAAGTCACTTAACCCCAATTGCCTAAAAAACAAGCAACAACAACAACAACAAAAAACAAACCTATTTCTACATTAGTTGGATTCTGAGTGAAAAAAGGAAAGAAAGGGAAAAAAACACACTTCCATCTTCACTCTGAATCTATCAGTTCTCTATCTGGAGATAGATTGCATTTTTCATCGTGAGTTCTTTGGACTTTTGGTAGATCATTGTATTTATCCGAGTTACTAGGTCTTTCACAGGAGATTATATTTATAGTATTGCTGTTAGGATATAGAGTGCTCTCCTGGTTCTGCTCACTTTGCTTTGCGGCAGTTCATGTAAGCTTTCCCAGGTTTTTCTGAAACCATTCTTAAAGGGAAAAGATTTCAACATTTGTTATTCAGTCATTTCAGTCATGTCTGACTTTTTGTGACCCCATTTGAGGTTTTCTTGGCAAAGATATTAGTTTGCCATTTCCTTCTAAAGCTCATTTGACCGATGAGGAAACTGAAGGAAATGGGGTTAAGTGACTTGCCCAGGGTCACACAGCTAAGTAAGTGTCTGAACCTGGATTTGAACTCAGGAAGATGAGTCTTCCTGACTCCGTGCCTGGCCCTCTATGTACTTTGCCACCATAATAAAAAAAAATAATAAATAAAACCCTTTCTAACAGTTAACAGCTATCTAAAATGAAGTAAGCTATATCACGAAGCAGTGAGCTTTCTGTCAATGGTTGTTTTAAAGCTGAAGCTATTGCTGAAAGGGGAAGAGGAAAGGAATAAGCATTTATATGGAGCCTACTATGTGCTATGCACTGTGTGTGCTAAGCACTTTAAAAATATGATTTCATTTGATTCTCAGAACAATACTACAAGATATGCTCTCTTATTATCCTCATTTTTACAGTTGAGGAAACTGAGGCAAACAGAGGTTAAGTGCCTTGCCCAGACAGCTGCTGTTCTTGCTTTTATTTCAGTGGGTGAGGAGGGGGCCTAGGAAGACTGAGTAGAGGAGCTGAAAATAGAAACGGAAAAAAATGGTGTTGATGAAACATTTAAAAAACACACAGAAAAATAAAAATGGAGTTCAAAGGGGAACACAGACAAGCAGGGCAGTGTTGTTACTACCATATTATGTTAAAAGAAAAGTGCTCTATGGAGCCAATTTGTAATTTCTCATTTTCTAGTCTTTGTATATGAAAATGTTCAGGTTAGTTAATGAATTTCTAATTCATGAGGAAAAAATTAGAAGGGAAGGTTAGACTAAATGAATTCTACATTCCCTCCCTCCAAGACCCTGTAATTCTAGCCTAACCTCATGTGACAGATGAAGACACAGAAGCCCAGAGACACGGCTTGGTTTTGACTTGCCCAAGGTCATGCAGCTAGTTAGTAGCAGATCTGGGACAGGGGCCCTACTCTCCAGATTCTCTGCCCAATTGTTTTTCTGCTGCATCACATTTCCTAGTCCTTCTTTTTAAGTTTTTTTTTTTTTTTTTTGGTGGAGAAAAGGTAGTCCTTATGCTTTCCTATGTGTCTGGGGCCTAGTGTTATTTCAGAAAACATATGCATAGCCTATTATTACAAGTTAAATTTGATTTAGGTAATCCTGGTAGGGACGAAGGGGTTTCGCTGTTTTGGAGAGAAGCAAAAAAAAAAAAATCAAACCAGGGGTTCTTAGGCTGTAGTTTATTTAGTTTTAAATATGTGTGTGTGTGTGTGTATTTCCTTAAATAGTTGGCTTTTTTTTTGTCTTAGGTGGAAAAAGAATTAATTTACTATGTCCATGATGGAAGTGAAGAACAACTTGACAGTTTTACAGTCTTTGTGAATAACACAGAACTTGGGAAACAGAGTTTGCCCCAAACTCTCTTTGTGACAGTTCAACCAGTAAATGATGAGGCTCCAGTCATAGTAGCCAATAACATATTGCAGGTAAGTATGCCATGCTTTTGATTTTTTGATATAAACACTGGGGCCCCTAACTTGGTTTTCTTTGTAAACATTTATTAATAGCTAACATGACTTGGGAACATGTGTTGTTGTCATAAAAACAGTAATATCAGTCTGCACATATTTCCTGAGTGCCTAATACCTGTGGAGACACACAGCTAGGCACTGTGGGAGAGGGAGACAAGTAGAAGACATAGTCCCTGCTATCAGGGGGATGACAGCCTAGTAAGAGAGTGACAGATTACAACAGAAGAGAAAGGTAAGTGATTGCTGGTAAAGAAAATGTACGTTGTACTTCAAGTATTTGAAGGCAAGAGAAACCACTGCCCTCTGACTGGGTGGTCGGGGCAGGCTTCATGATTGAAGTGGGATTTGAGCTTTGCCTTGAAAGATGGATAGAATTCAGAGAGAAAAAGGGAATAACATAAGAAAATGCACTAGGCAGGAGAATGAAGGGCAACTAGGTGGTGCAGTGGTTAGAGCACTGGGCCTCAGGTCTGGAAGACCTGAGTTCAGATCTGGCCTCGGATATTTACTAGCAGTGTAACCCCGGGCAAGTCACTTAACCCTGTTTACCTCAGTTTCCTCATCTGTAAAATGAGCTGGAGAAGGAAATGGCAAATCATTCCAGTATCTTTGCCAAGAAAACCCCAAATGGGGTTATGAAGAGTTGGACACAACTGAAACAACTGAACAATAACAACAAAGGAAAAAACAACATGAAAAATATGTTCAGGGATAAATAGTAATAAATCAATTTGACTGGTACAGAGGGTATTTATAGAAAAGTATGAGAAAAGAGTAGCTAGGTGTCGAAGTGGATAGAGGACTGGCCCTGGACTCGGAAAGACCTGAGTTCAAATCCAGCCTTAGCCATTCCACACTGACTAGCAAGTCACTTAACCCCATTGCCTAGCAAAAAAACAAACAAACAAAAAAGAAAAGTAAGAGAAAGAAACATTGAAAAGGACCGCTGGGACCAGATTGTTCAGGAGATGTAGGATGTTAGAGCTTGTGATAGGACCACTATCTACCAGGTTTTCCTCTCCCCACAAAACATGAATTAGGCTAATTTCTTCCTGAAATTAAGGCAACAAAGCTACCCCTGGGGCTGCATTGGTTCCAGGGGTTAAGGAAGATTCAAAAGCTATCTCCCTTGATGACGCTTCCTATTGACTTTTGGCCATATCAACACGACTTCCTGGTTACCTAAAGGCATTAAAAACTCCACGCGTGTGGAGTGAGGGCCTTTCATATTTGGTGGACATATCTAGTTATTGCCCTGCCCTGCTGACCATGCTTATTTCCGTATGAAAACAAATGGGGCTACATCTTCAGAAGCTAAGCACTGCGGTATCCCTGTTGAATATCCTTTCTGTGTTTTGGCTAGGTCAGCCTCTTTTTGTTGGAATTGTTGAATAAGTGTCTTCTTTCATTCCAACTCCAAACTTAAACTGAGTACTAGTTCAAGTCAGACCTGCCCAATACAACGCTGGAGGGGATTTTAGAGGTCATCAAATTCAGTGCTCCTACTTTTTGAAACAGAAAGGTAAATCAGCATTCCAAAGGCTATTCAGGAGCGCTGAACAGACACAGAACTAGACCAAGTGTGTGCGGGAGCCAGCTACACCCAGTTTGTGAAAGCTGCTTATTAAATTTTCAGTATGTGCATTTACACCTTAAAAATTGACAAATGCTGGTGGTTGACATTTACCAGCACATTTCTGATTAGAACTCAGATCCTGTGACTCCTCATCCACCATTCTTTTGCCATATCTTACTGTCTATGAATGTCAGGCCAAGAAATTTGGACTTTTTTCTATGATCAGTAATTTTTCTGACATAAGAATCTACAAATTCTACCCATCTCTGAAAAATGGTTAAAATGATGTAGGACTTTAAAAACTAGCCCTTTTGGGGCAGCTAAGTGGTACAGTGGATAGAGCACAAGTCCTGGAGTAGGAGGATCTGAGTTCAAATGTGGCCTCAGATACTTTCTAGCTGTGTGATCCTGGGCAAGTCACTTAATTCCAATTGCTTCACCATCACCACCCCCAGGGAAAAAACCCAACTAATCCTTTTACAATTGAGTTCTTAACCTAGAGTGTGTCAGGTTTCAGGGGTTCTGTGAGCTTGTATGGAAAAACAACTTGATTTTCACGAACCACTAACTGAAATTTAGCATTTCCTTCAACCATTTAAAAACATTCTTCTGAGAAGGGGTCCATAGGCTTCACCAGAGTGCCAGAGGATTCACATAAAGGGGAAGAACACTTGTTTTACAGTGTGCAGCATGGCAGTTAAGAAGCTTTCCTCTCTTCTTCCTCTTCCCAGCATCCTGTCTTGCTTCCTTCCTTCCTGCTCTCTCCCTCCCCTCACCCCACCTCCCCGCTCTGCTGTCTTTGTCCTTGTCCTCCTGAGAGAAGGCCCTTTTCTTCAGTACTTTTTTACAGACAAGCCCCACTGTCCATCTGTTTTCTTTAAAATGGCATGCACAGCACTTTCATTTCTGAAGTTTGCTCTTCGAGTTGTACTTTGAGGGAAATAAAAGACAGCCTTCTGTGGTCAGTGGCCAACTCTTCCCAAAAGCTGTGAAGATAGCCCTAGGTTTTGCCTTAGAATTCATCGGGTCTTGCACAATATACAGCTGGTGTGCATAGATGAGTCTAGCCATGTGCATTTTCCTTTATGTCATAGATAAGTCAGCTCCTATGTATGTATGCACATTGTTTTGTCAGTTACTTGCTGGTAAGATGCTAATCTCCCACATGGCTCAGCATGCCATCTTACCAGCTCCCCACCAGCATGTGATTGAGGATCACAGGCTAGGCTACTGAAACCCATAATCAGAAAGGTTAAAAAGCTCCTGGAGATAATAGACTGCATCTCAGATAGCTTTTGGAGTGACAGTTTTAAGTCATCTGAGCTAATGCATTCATCCAGTAACACAACCAATCAATATTTGACTGCATTTAACAGTGTTAAGTATAAAGCTTAAAGGGAGTAGGAAATGACCTGTAATGGGTCTTGATTGGGTTTGCAGTAAAATTTGGGGTTTGGTCTTGTTTATTTCCTGAAATAGAATCTGTGATTCCATTGCTGTAGGGATCTCTTGGTAAGGAAATTCCCTCTATCAATGGAAGTCAGCATCTTTTCCAAAACTTAGAGCTACCTGTCAAACATAGCATTAGACCAGCACCTAACCAGATTAAAATGTAATTGGGAAATATTTAACAAAATAAAAATACAATACATTTGTTGTTGTTGTTCAGTTGTTTTTCATTTGTGCCTGACTCTGTGACCCCATTTGAAGTTTTCTTGGCAGGGATACTACAGTGGTTTGCCATTTCCTTCTCCAGCTCATTTTACAGATGAGGAAACTGAAGTGGAGTCGAGTGACTTGCCCAGGGTCACACACAGCTAGGAAGTGTCTGAGTCCAGATTTGAACTCAGGAAGACGAGTCTTCCTGACTCTAGGTCTGGCGCTCTTTTCATTATGCCGATTGGTTGTCCATACTGACTTAGCAAACCACAAGTGAACATTACCCATGTTGTGTTGAATTTTTATTTATTTTGTTAAACATTCCGCAGTTACATTTTTATCTGGTTTAGGGGCACACTCACAAGTGACAGGACAGTGAGTTTACCACCTCTGTTCTTTCATCACCTGGTCTATTTATTTTAAATGTAAATGTAACATTTACACATTTCTAAGTTATATCATATAGTAATTTCATAGCAATGCAATGTAGCTGATAGAGTGTTGGACTTAGAGTCAGGAAGGCCTGAGCGTGAATCCTGCTCCAGACACTTAATAGTTGTGTAACACTAGCCAAGTCACTCAACTTCTCTGAGACTCAGTTTTCTTATCCATAAAATGAGGGACTTGAAAAAGGTAGTCTGTAAGGTATCCCTTCACACTCTGAATTTATGGTTCACGTTTGTATCTTGTATATTGTAATTTCTATGAGAGCAGGAGTTTCATGTCTCCTCCACTGCCTAGCACAGTGCTCTGCATATAGGAGGTAGTTAGTTAATATTGGAGGGAATGAATCATGCTTCGGAGTGGTTTTTAATGTGTGGAGGAGGGGCATTGAAGCAGCTCAAATCAGATGGTCTCAGTCTTCTCAGGGAAGAAGGAAGCTGGGCCATCTGCTTTGAGGGAGGCGGGGACTCAAGGTTGGACAGACAGCTTTTGAGCCTGAACGGCTGGCTGCTTGTGGAGATGAGGAGGGGATCTGTACTTTGAGTAGGGGGTTGGGAAGGTGGCATATTTATGTCCCCTTCTAACATCATGATTCTGTCATCCTGGATTGGAAAGAAGCTGGATAATGATTATTTTATGTCGACTTTCAGCTGGACTGGGGGAAATTAATCAGACTTGTCATAAGCTTGTCACTAGAGCCACTTGGAGATTTTAAGTGAGAAAATGATGGATTATGTCCCTCTCCTGAAGCCAAGTAACACTTTGTACCTCTCTGATAGCCTTTACTGTATTTTGCTGTCTTCTTGTCAAGGGCAGTATGGTGAAGAGTGCTGGGCCTGGAATCAGCAAGATTCATCTTCTGAGTTAAAATCTGACCTCAGACACCTACTAGCTGTATGACCCTGGGCAAGTCACGTAAAAGCCTCAGTTTCCTCATCTATCAAATGAGCTGGAGAAGGAAATGGCAAACTGTGCCTGGATCTTTGCCAATAAAATCCAAAATGGGGTCACAAGTAGAAACAGGGGCAGCTAGGTGGCGCAGTGGATAGAGCACCGGCCCTGGAGTCAGGAGGATCTGAGTTCAAATCTGGCCTCAGACACTTGACACTCACTATCTCTGTGACTCTAGGGAAGTCACTTAACCCCAACTGCCTCACCAAAAAAAAAAAAAAAGGAAACCAAACCAAACAAATAGTCAGAAACGACTTAACTAGTACAACAACAACAAAAATTGTCAACAGTGGTGGAATAAATTAAAATTCCATTCTACTAAAAT